GGCCCTTAAGAGGTATTTATATGTTCCGATGCAGAATCCACGCGGCATGCCAATCAAGATGCCAAGCAAGATCTCCGGGATCCAATGTGTATCTCTAGGCAGTTATTTCGGGACCGGGAGATTGAGCTAAGCAAAATATCCGGGATTTGATATGTATCTCCAAGCAGTTATTTCGGGACCGGGAGATTGAAATATATCTAGATACAAGGATGTCCATCGTAACTGCTGTGTAGCTATTCTAGCGGGAAGCTTTGGACTTACCCTTACACTATTCCCCCCCCGGAAGTCATTCACTTGTGAATGATGTTGGTGGAAGTAATAGGGGCAGTGAATAAATAGAAAGAAAGAGAAATTAAGATGAGCTACGGAGATAAAAATCCATGACCTCTTCTGAATAAATGACCATAGTCGAAGTAAGATGATTGACACTGGGTTACTGTGGCCGTAGCCGAAGTAAAATGAGTGACACTGGGTTACTGTGGTCGTAGCCGAAGTAAAATGAGTGACACTGGGTCACTGTGGCCGGAGCCGAAGTAAGATGAGTGACACTGGGTCACTGTGACCGGAGCCGAAGTGAAATGAGTGACACTGGGTCACTGTGGCCGGAGCCGAAGTGAAATGAGTGACACTGGGTCACTGTGGTCGAAGCCGAAGTAAAATGAGTGACACTGGGTCACTGTGGCTGGAGCCGAAGTGAAATGAGTGACACTGGGTCACTGTGACCGGAGCCGAAGTAAGATGAGTGACACTGGGTCACTGTGGCCGGAGTCGAAGTGAAATGAGTGACACTGGGTCACTGTGGCCGGAGCCGAAATAAGATGAGTGACACTAGGTCACTGTGGCCAGAGCCGAAGTGAAATAAGTGACACTGGGTCACTGTGGCCAAAGTCGAAATAAAATACTTGTCAAAATTTAAAATGTATAGAAGTGGAAAGGAGTGTTGAAATGGGCTTAAATGGGCCCGTCTGAGAGGTCTGACTAAGACGCGGCACGTGACGCGACAGCTGTCCTCTGAATGACGTGTGTAATAAATGCCGCTGTAAAAAAGATGACTGCAACAGTCCAACGGGTAGATTTGCAAAGCGAACCGTCGAATTCGAAACGGTGTCGTTGAATAGTTAACCGTCGAATTCGAAACGGTGTCTCTGCAGCCGTTAGATTGAATTAATCACAGCCGTTGGGGCGTATTTTGCCTTTGGTATAAAAGGCTATACTTCTGTAAAAGGTGACTTTTTTACTCTCGTTATTTTGCTAGTATATCCTTGTGAAATTTCTGCTAAATTTCTGCGGTTTCGTGCGGTTTGCGCTTCGATCAAGACTTCAACAACAGTTTCGTAAGATCAAAATCAGGTAAAATATACAAATTTTGAACTTCAATTTTGAATTCTTGAGTTCAATTTTGCTGGTATGCTATTCTCCTTCCTACCTTTCTGTGGTTGATTTTGTGTTCTTTGGAGGAAATTAGGGTGGGGAGTGAGAATGTGTTGAGTGTGTTGGAATTGTTTAGGGTCCTGACATCATTCCTCCTCCCCCTGTATGCAGAAATTGAGATGTCTTCAGAAGAGGCCAGGAGTGTGGTGGGGAGTGAAGTGATGCCTTTGGAGTATGGTAGTATGGATACAGAGAGCAGTCCGTCTCTAATGAGTTCGGAGAGGACAGTGGAGGATAGGAGGGAAGAAGTAGTAGTAGAGGAGGAGGAAGAGGAGATCCCCTCAAACGTGTTAAAATCTGGGGGTGGCGTGGATGGGTGCTATGACCCAGACTTAGAGATAGTGTCTGAGGTAAGGGGGTATGTGAGCGAGTTAGGTAGTAGGAGTAGCCTTAGGGGGTTAGTGGGAAACTGTAACCTTCCCCACCATGTCCTAATCCGGCTGGCCGGGGTGAATGAGAGGGCATGCTCAGCACCCCGAGACCACTAGATGCCCATATACCTGCATTATTTGATTGCAGGGCTTAGGTTTCCCATTCCAGAATTACTGGTGGGGATTTTATTAGATTATAGTATAGGAATAACATAGCTAACTCCCAATGCCATGAGGGTAGTAATATGTTTTCTTGTATACTGCAGAGTTCGGGGGGTTGGGGTTCCGACGGTAAATATGTTTAAACATTTTTTTATAATTAAGGCTGGGGGTAGGGGGGAGAAGGGATGGTACCACTTCGGCCTTCGGTCGTCCAGTAAAGGGAATAGGACTTTATTTTCTGCTGGGCCGTCATCCATCAAAGGGTGAAAAGAAAAATTCTTCTTTGTGGATGACACCGAGTGGAGTAGGAGGGATGCCGAAGTGGAACAGTTGTCTGCTTGGAAAGCTAAGAAAACCAAGCAGAACAACTATAAGTTAAATGAGGATGAGGTGGGGGAGGTGGAGAAGCTGGTGAGGGAGGACGGAGACGTGGTGGACATCCTACACCTCACCAGTCCGCAAGCAATAGAGGCTGCTGAGCTCTATGGGCTAAGCTCATTGAGCGAAGGTCTGTGTATGTTTACATTGTACTATGTTAGTTAGATCTTAGTGTATGCATTTTGACCTTTGTGCTTTGTTTTGCAGCTGAGATGGAGGAGTTTACCACTGCTGCTGGGGGGCTGCGCATCCCAAAGAAGCCAAGGAAGAAGTCAACGACTTCAGCTGCGGCGAACAGAGGGGTGCCCGAGAGAGAGCGCCTGCCCAGCACTTTGGCCCGGGTAATGGAGGTGCAGCCAAGGCCGGAGCCGGTGATGGGGGGTAGTGAGGATGTAAGCGAGGAGACGGCACCGCTCCAGAGGAAGAAGAGGAGGGTGGCAGAGCTAGAAAGCAGGGGGGACGAGGTGGTGGAGTTCGTGCCCCAGTCTTCTCCTCCAGAGGTCCACCCTGAAGATAGGGAGGGGGGAGAGGTCGAAGTGCGAGGCCTTGGTGGGGGCAGGGAGCGCACCCCTCCGCCCGTATACTAGAGGAGTTTGTTTGAGGCGACAAACAAGACTGGGGCGAAGCACTTCCTCAACGCTACGCTTCCTGAGGTGGATAGGGTGCAGGCGAGGAACGAGGTGGTTAGCCATGCGGGGTATACCGTTGTGAGGCATGCCCTGGAGGTATGCAAAATGATTAGATTTTACTCCAGTTATATGTTTGAATTTTTTGTCCTGTGCTTGATGTCTCACTTCTGACTGCATTGTAGAGTGCGAGCTGGACAAACGCTCTAGCGCAGGAGTATGCAGAGAGCATTAGAGATCGTGCCAGCTTGCAAAGGCAGTGCGACCAGCTTTAGAGGGAGAAGGATGAGCTGCAGAAGGAGAAGGTGGAATGGGAGAAGCAGAAGAGGGAGATGCAGAGGAGGCTGGATGAAGTTCTCCCTTCAGTGACCGAGCACCAGAACGAGAATGACGTCCTGAGCACGAAGCTTGGCCTCGAAGAACGTAAGAGGAAGATCTGTGAGGAGAAGCTCGAGACTCAAGACAAATATATGGACAAGATGAGGAAAGGAGCCGCGGAGCTGAAGAAGAACGTGAACTTGCTGGTTCACAACGGGATGGAGGAGCACGTTGGCAACTTCCTCAACTCCAGCACGTTCGAGAGCATCCTCAAACTCTACCGGCTGCCAACTGCCATCCTGGCCTTTACCGACTGTAGAAAGAAGGTGAAGGCCCAGTACCCAGAGGTGGACGTGACAACAGTCACCTTTGGGGAACAAGAGGAAGGAGTGGAGGAAGATGGTGAGAGTCTCTGTGCTGACTTCCGACCTCAGATTACTCTGAGGTGGGAACGTGATGCGGAGGGGCGCACCCTTTTTCCTCCACTCTTTGATGTTGAGTTGGTGGCCGTGGAGGGAGAGGCAGAAGAAGAAGAAGAAGAAGCTCAAGGCGCTGGGGTTGAGGATCAAGCAGCCATGGCCGAAGTGCAGCCTCCCGAAGTGCATCCAGTCTCCTCTGACGAGGTGCAGCAGCTGGCCCCTCCTGAAGTAGAAGTGCCGCCTCAGCCGGCTGAAGATGAGCCCAGAT